TATATATATGTAGGAAGATATGGCTCTTGATCTTTCTTTGAAGGAAGAAAGTATAGCTTTAGCTCTGCTCGTTTTTTGTTGTGAATTTCATGAGGATAATCAATCATTCTATCGATTTTTTTGCCTAATATGACGTGGATTCTGGAAATTGACCAATTAAAGCAGTTTCCGTGCAGCGATATCGGGTTTTCCACCTTTTCTGGACCTTTTCATTGGTCCTTCCTGAACAACAACTTTAATCGCAGTCAAATTTTTGAAGAAGGGATTCCGGACCGTTCTTAGATTGACAAGGGCGAGGCGAAGAGGGACGGTGAAATTCAGTGAATGGGCAGAGTGACTTAAAAGGGGATGGCTGACTTAACTTCCAAGCGAATCTCGCTTACCACGGTGAATTATGCTGAATTTGGGTAATAACTTAGTCAGAGAGTCGGCTCATTATGAATATCTTTAGTTTTGCTCGAATGATGCTTGAGCTAATTCTTATTCCCATCATATGTCGCCATTTAAAAGGTGCAACTTTCGTGCTGTGCAACTTTGTTTCAAATTGCATATCTCACACAAATCTTCCCTTTTATGTCGGCATTCGAAAATGTTTTTGTAGTACTTTCCACTGCTTTCCTTCAGCGACGCATTTGTATCTCCGCTTTTATCTCGTAATCTAATTCTATTCAAATGAATGCATTTACGCTTTTTTGCACACGGTGATGTCTGCATATGAAATACTTTCTGTTTGTCCTTATATACCATCTTTTTGGGAAGCAGTTGGTTGGAAATCTCTGCGCTATCTTTTTTTCTACTTTTTTGGGTATAATTTTGTCGTTTTATACTTTTTAGTCAATCTACGATTCACATTCTATGTTCAAACCCTATCCGTTGCATATCAGTCAGTGATCAGCCGTTCTCAATCTGAACTTCAGCTAAAATACACCACTGCAAAGCCTTGTGCACATCCAAATTAAAAGCCTTTGGCATCAGCTGTTTGCTTTTTCTTAGCCAGGAAAGGAATGGAACAATGGAACTTGTCTTGCTATCTATTCCTTGTACTGCATCTTAATGGGTGGATTTGACGGATTCCTTTTGCACTTTTTTCGCGTTCCGTCCTTTTCAAGACGCGGCGATATACGTTTCGTCCCATAGGACAGCTTCTAACCTTCCTGAGTTTCATCACCATACTTTTTATGGCTTTCATTGCTTCAAATCCAATTTTATATCTATATGCTGTTTAGTGGTACGATGTGCAGAATGAAGTAATCCTAATATCCGCTGTGCTTCTTCAAACTCTGTTTATTCAGCTGCTCTATACACTTTCAGAGAAGGATGCCCAGTTTAGCAGCGCTGTCACTCTAGTCTGCTATCCTAGTAAGTATGAGCTCCGACGTCATAAAACGGGCAAATCCTGCTGATGACTATGAGCTTCTGCAACGGGTAGGATCTGGCACTTATGGTGAAGTCTACAAGGCACGGCACATAAGGTACATTTGGTCAATCTTTCAATTTATTTATATACAATTTTCTTTTAGAAGCGGAGAGTTATCCGCCGTGAAAGTTGTCAAACTGGAAGCCGGAGACAACTTCGCTATCATCCAGCAGGAAATTCTGATGATTCGGGAATGTTCTCATCCTAATATTATTGCATATCATGGTAGTTATTTGCGACGCGATCGGCTGTGGATTGTGATGGAGTACTGTGGGGGAGGATCTCTTCAAGATATATATCATAGTACGTTTATTATGCGCAATTCGACTACTGTGGCATCCTTCAACTAGTCAGTCGATAACTTAAGAGTATTGAATACCTCTGTTCACAATCCGACAAATTTAACTGTATTCTAAAATTCTTCCCTCACTTCTTGAAGCATGTTTTTAAGCATTACTCTAAATTCTTTGTAAGCTCTTGAATCTTTTCTCCTTTTGTTTCCTACCTTGGATACGATATTTCTTTTACTTTTTTCTAAGTGATAATACAATGAGTAGCGGTTACTAAGTTTGTTCCTGAGGCATCTTGGATATGAATATTGCATTTTTTTTTTGAAATTTCAATCTCAGTTATCATCAAAAGTTGCGTCTCCTTGCTATTAAAACGCAGGTATTGCTTATTACAAAAAATACTAATTTCGCCTTCAAAGCAGTTTTAGTTCCGCTTCAATCATAGCATGAGAATGATAAGAGGATTTTGCGCCGGGTTCAATTACTCATAACTCTACCACGTTTTCTGGGATATGGGGCACGTCGTCACTGCATCGACCGCATTAATTGCGAATGATGAACTGCGCTG